TTTTTTTTTTTTTTTTGAGACAGTGTCACTATATTGCCCTGGTAGAGTGCTGTGGTGTCACAGCTCACAGCAACCTCAAACTCTTGGGGACAAGCAATTCTCTTGCCTCAGCTTCCTAAGTAGCTGGGATTACAGGTGCCTGCCACAACGCTCGGCTATTTTTTTGTTATAGTTGTCATTGTTTGGCGGGCCCTGGGTTGGGTTTGAACCCACCAGCCCCCATGTACGTGGCACCCTAGCCACTGAGCTATAGGTGCTGACTCTGAAGTAGTCTTCTTTCTAGACCTCATCACCATCTATCTCTTCCTGCTTTTCAAATTTATTAGTACCTAAAAGTATAATCTTTATTTCTTTATAATCTAACTTACAGAATATAAGTTACATGAGTAAAGGAACTTTGCCTTAATCAGTAGGTTCTTAGTGCTAGGAAAGGGCTTAGCATGTAGTAACCACTCGGTAAATGTTTGGAGAATGTTGAATGTAAGAAAGAATTTATGTTCATAACCCCCTCTTGCCTAGTCCATGCATAACAAAGCCAGAAGTGTATATATGAAGCTGGTTCATACCAATATGTTGGTAAAGATTATCTCTGCATGATAGGGTTATGGATGGTTTTTATTTTCATGTTTTTATTTTTCTAGAATATCCTCTATGATTACATGTAGACGTATATGCATGTGTATACGTACATTACATGATTTTCAAAATTTAAAAAGGAAGTGAACTAGGTTCTCTCTGAGATACTCATGCTTATGACACTGTACTGTGTTGACTCATCTTTCCTGTGTCTGTCCCAGGTTTTAATTCCTTCAGCTCATAAATTGATAAGTCGATGATACTTTCCATACTCATGTTGCTTTAGAGATAATGCTTTCATTTACCTCATTCAGTTCATCACCAGATCCTGCTATTTCTTATTTTTGCAGTTTTTGGCTGGAGCTGGGTTTGAACCCGCCACCTCTGGCTTATGGGGCCAGTGCTCTACTCCCTTGAGCCACAGGTGCTGCCCTTTTTTTTGATCCTGCCATTTCTACCTCTAACATATCTCATGACTATTCACTTCTCTTGTACCACCTTAGACCAAGCCACACTCTCTCTTGCCTAGTCCATATAGTAGCTTCCAAACTACACTCCATTCTGCAATCCTTGCATGCTATTTAATCCATTTTTCACCCAGTAGAACCTCCATATTGACCATCTCCCTACCTTTACCACCTCCTTACGTTGACCTAATTTTCATAGACTGGACATGTACCACATGTACGTATCTGCACAGTAAGCCAAGTACCTTATGTTGACCACCTCCAGTTTGTTATATCTGGTGGGTGGTCAACTTAACAGAACTTACTTTCTTGCTCAAAATCTTTCACATGGAATAACACCTGAATCCTTCACATGCCCTAGGTTCCTGTGGGAATTGGCCCCTCCTGCCCTTCCCACTTATCTAAGCTATTTTTTACTTGGGACATGCTAGTGACATGGTCTTTCAGTTTCTTAGAAACCCCCAAGTTTTTTTTCTGTCTTTGGGCCTTTTTATAAGCAAACTTTCTTCAGGGGACTCTTTCAGACCCACTCTGTTTCTCCAGTCTGTGTCAATTTTACTTAAGCTTCAGTTCTCAATTTTCATACTTCCCCAAAGAGACCTTTCCTAGCTTTGATCTAAATTAATTTTCTCAGTGTACTTTTGTGGCATTTTTAAAGCTATTCTTCATAGCACTCATCCATTGGTAACTTTTATCTAAATATCTGTGACCTCCCTTAGTTTGTAAGCTCCAAGAGGGGAAAAACTATTTTTTTCAACTACCTGTGCTATATCCTTAATTCTTAACATAATTCCTGGTGCGTAGTGAAAAAGAAATTAGTAGAATGAATACGTTTGTTTCCATTTCTATTATTACCATTTATATTCAGAGAATTTCCAGACCTTGAAAGACAGATATTCTCACAGTGAACCTGAATGTGCCAAATATGAAATAGTCTCTTTTCTTGGTTTAGAGGCAGATTTTTATTCTCGGCTCAGCCTCAATGCTGAACTAGGAGTGAGGGATCCTGCCCATGAGGTGGCAGCACCTGCTTGGATCTTTGGTCCTAATTCCTAGACTTCAAGGAAGGATAGAACCCAGTTACTGAGATAGTTTTATGCTGGTAGATTTGGCAGAATATTAGTGCTTAGAAAGAAGAGAGCCTGAACAATCTAGAATTATAGAGATAAGCTTCTATCCCTAGTACTGTATATTCCTTATTGCCTCAAGAAATTTGAGGGGACACATTAGAAACCTTGGAGAAGAAAAATTACAAGATTTGGAGCCAGTAAGATCTGGTTTTGAATACTAGATCTACTAACTACCAACTCTGTCCCTTGGCAAGTTGCTTGGTTTTTCTGTGCTCTAGTTTTCTTTTCTATAAAATAAGGATTTTGATACCTAACTTTCAGGATTATAATTAAAGCTTCTGTCTCATAGAAGTTGCTGAATAAATGCTAACTATTTCTTAGATATAAGGCCTTCCTCCCCAGGTAGCTTCTTTGAGGGATATCTGTTTAGAGAATCCTAGGGACTGAAAGTCTAGTACCCAAGTTTAGAGATTGCTGTGGCCTAGCTATGTTAGGAATGCATGTGCGTTGTCTTCTATTTGGGTTCTGAGATTAAAACAAATTAGAGAAGAATCTATCACCTATCCAAAGAGTTATGTAGATGGATGTACTTCTTCATCATACCTGCCCCTGTCAGAAGCCTTTTTAGAGTGGGTTTTCTGTGGGCATTCTTCTTACTTTCTTGGGATGCTGCCATCTCCTTGCTCTGCTCTCTTCTCTCTCCCTCTCCCCCATTTTCTCTTCTCTGCCCTTCTCTCTGTTCTCTCTCTCTAATCTCCCCCCCCACTCTTTCTTCTCCCTAATATAAAATAAATATATACCTTTGTATCTTAAAAAAAAGAGTAGGTTTTCTGACCTGTACACTGGTTCAGCTCTGGTTCTCTTTGTAGTCCAGTTAGCAGCAGAGATGCCATATGCATCCTACTTGCCTCTCTCATGACCAGCACTGCCTTCACTGGCCTGCAGCACTCTTGCTCAGAGAGTCTGGATGTGATCTGGTAATCCTTCTCATAGAACTCTGGCCACTGGTAGTCAGTGAGTTGGCACTGAGTTGTGAAATGAAGCCCATTTTATATCCATATCCTAAAGAACTGAATCAGGTGCAGCAACAACTCAGGTATCTTCTCTGGACCTTAAAAATGGGCAGCCATTTAAAATTTTCAATTCAGGGTTTCAGTGTTAATAAATGTGAATAGAATAATATACGACCTTGAATTAAATCACTTTTCTTTGCAGAAAGTACCATGACGTAGTGCTGCACTTTCTAGCACTTTTCTCTAGAGAGCTCAGTTCCTATTTAAAGATACTCTATCTCCAAACTTATCTGAAGGATTTTGTAGTACCAAAACAACCAATGTTGTAGGGCCCCCATATCATAGCACCTTAAGGCAAGGGCCTTACCCCAGGCCCTAACATCTGCTAACCAGTGAAGCATTTCAAAGAAGACGCAGGGTTTGAGACACCAGAGAGCCCTAGCTATTGATCCACATTCGTTTATTCAACAAATTTGTATTGAGTGCCTCTTACAAGGTATATAGCAGCTACTGTTCTAGGCACTAGAGATATATCAGTGAGCAAAAAAGACACACCTCTTATAGAATTTGTATTGCAGTGGGTTGATGTGGGCTTTCCCCAAACACCATACAGAGGTATATACTCAGGTATCTTCCCTGACATAGGACATGCTCTATGTTTAGAATTTAGGTGGTATCTCCTCAACAGTTTTTTTTTTTTTCTTTTTTGGTGCTCTTTTATCCCCTTTTTATTACCATGAAGGAATTGAGATTCTGAGAAGTCAATTAACTCTCAGGGCACTTGGCAAGTGGGTGGCAGAGCTAAGTCTCTATCCTAGATCTGCCAGCCTCTCCAGAAGACTCTATTCCACCCGGATTTAGGTTAAGCTCAAAATTCACTTCTTTGAACTTCGGACAGACCATTGGAGTTCTGTAGCAAGTAGGGCTTTTCAGAAGTGTTATTTACATTGTCTTGTTCACCATACATGAACTGAATACCTTCTCTGAACTGTAGGCTGTGCCATTTTAGAAAAATATCTTTGTATAGTAACACTTTGGTGTCCTCTGTAGTATCTCTGCTTTTCCTTTTAAATTGGTTAACACACATGAGCCTGTTGTGCCCTGGAAAGATAACTAAGCTAGGCTGTATTCCCTATTTCTTACTATCTTGTGTCTATCCCAGGTTCGAGTTGCTATGGAGGGAATCAATGGGACAGTTGGTGGAAGCAAACTGGCTACCAGACTCTACGTGGAAGTCATGCTTTCTTGCCCATTGTTTAAGGATTATCTGTGTAAGGACGATTTTAAGGTAAAAGAAAATGAAAATACAATGGCTTTAGAGCCCTCTGCTTCTTTCTCAGTGCAGATTATTGAACACGAGATTGACATAGAGAAATAGGCAGTGCCAGAGAAATACCCTTTCCCCTTAAGTTACGAGCATGCTTGTCCCTGTTCTTCCCTTGAGTCGCCAAGTGATTTTGGACAAATTGGTGTCCTCACTAGATCTGTCTTCCTTCTTATAGGGAATGGATGTGTTTACTCACTTGAGAAGCCACCTGGCTGTTAGGGTTAGGATTAGTTGTTAGCAGATCACTGTGTTTTAGTAAACCTGAAATTGTAAGATCTGTACTTTATACCACATGGGAAAATAAAGCTGCTGCTCTCATAGCTGAGCCGCTTTGTTTGGGTGAGTTTCTGCTTTATCATAGTAAGTGATAAGGCAGTGGGAAGTAGCTTGCTAGTGTTCATGGTGGTGACACAGGTAAAGAAAGATCGTCCTTTGAAACAAAAACTGGGTATAATCACATATTAGAATTCTCTCTGGTGCTTCAATTTTATAATTTATAGCCTAAGAAATACCATTTCAACTTAATATTCCTGCACTTAGTAGTACTCAAATATTTATTAATGTTGAATTATCTGGAACATTTTTGGCCCTCATTTCCCAATGAAGTTTTCCTAATTTTTTTTCCTCCTAATTAGAAATTTCTTAAGACTTCAGTATTGCAAAACAGAACATCATTCTTTTATTTGACACACCTGGAGATGGGACAGGAAGACTGTATTCTGTTTTGTTTCTCATTGGCTAGACCAGCAAAGGAGGAGCTCACTGTTTTCCAGAATTGCGTGTTGGTGTATTTGAAGAAATCGTTCCCATGGGGATCAGCCCTAGTAAGATCTCCTACAAGAAGACTGGTATGCCTGCTTTCAGAAGAAGCATAATGGTTTTCTTCATGGGGACAGCCTAATGGGCAAATAAGAAAGCTAGGCACTATGATTAGCAAGAGTCGTGATGAATCTGCTCTTTAAAGTAGCTGTGGGGTGGCTAATGCTGGGTGCACCTGCGCTCAACTTGGTTCTCTGCGGTATTTGTGGTAATTGAATTCTCACCCCTTAGAGTGGCCTATTTTATTTTTCTTGGTGGTGGTTTGACAGAAGTTGTTTTCTCAAGACGACAGTGTGGGAAGAATATAATTATTACTTGTAAATAATAAATCAGCTTTCAACACCAAAGCAGTTTTCACTGTGCTCTAAAATGTTCTGCACCTCTTCTCCATGGTAAAAGATTGAAAGACATTTGTTTGGCAGGATTGTTTTCTGTTTTACTTTTTGCTATGGAAAATTTCAAACATTAAAAAAGTATAGAAAAGAGTACAGTTAACATCCATGAACTTATCACTCAGCTTCACCAGTGAACTGATTCATGGCTAACTCTCATCTATACTCATCCCCTTCACCCATCTTGGATTATTTTGAAAAACATCCCAATGTTAAAACATTTGATTCATAAATATTTTAGTAAATATCTCTTTAAAAAGATAAGTATTTATTTTAAAAAGCTGTAAAATATTATATTTAAGACATTTTGACAGTAATTCCTTAATACGTTATCACATACCTAGTCAGTTGTGTCAGTCACTTCCCAGCGGTCTCCTAACTTCTTACTTTGTTTCCATTAGGACTCAAGTGAGTTTCGTTGATTGTGATTCATCCCATGTCTCTTTAAGTGTTTTTTATCCTATACATTTGCCTGTATCTTTTTTGTCCCTCTTGTGCAGTTTATTTTTTGAAGTAGCTAGTATACTTGGTCTGTAGAGTTTCCCATAATCTGGATAATACTAATTATACCCCCATGGTATATTTCTCTGTCCTCTTTATTTCCTATAAATTGATAGATTTAGAGTAGTACTGTCATAAAATATGAGCCACATAATATAATTTTACATTTTCTAGTAGCCATATTTTAAAAAGTAAAAAAAAAAAAAAAA